AAATTGTTGCTGCACAATTTTGATAAGACTGTCCAATGGTAATTTTTGTAGAACTAAAGTAAGAAGTATTTCTAACAAAAATAAAACATTTCGTTTATATATAAAGTAAGACACACATATATTAGAAATTGAACTAAAAATAAATTAGTATCAAACTTGTGTAAATTGCAGTATCAAACATGTACACACTAGTTAACAATATTTTACCAAACATAAAGATGCAGTTGATACGAAAAACAATATTTTGTCTTTTGATAATTTTATACAGCAAATGTAGACACATATATTTTATATAATAATCATTAAATGTCGTTTTTCCAGAATTTATTTGCGATTTTTATTTAATGACTTCTTATATTTTTATTAATGAAGACACATCAAGATTAAAATACAACTAGCAGAATTATGTAAATAACTTCATACATTTACCGATTATGTAATGTTATATTATAATAAACTAACTTGAGCAAAAAAATTATCAATGTTTTTTGACGTTTTGCTTTCAGTCTTAACGTTTACTCCAATAAGTAATAAAGGAATGCGTTTTTTTTTTTCATTTTATAACGAACATAAAGGACGCATTTTATAATATGACGAAGGTATTGTTTAATAAAGGTCAGAGAACAAGAATAATGAGTTGGCCTCTGCACGATATCTTATTCATACTTTTTGGATAAATAAGCACTAATAAAATATTAAAATAATGATAGTTTTGGATATAACTCTACTAATCTTGAAAAGCTTCTCCGTTCTCACTTGCCATCTTATAGCATATACATTTTCTAGTCCTTTAATCAAGATACATCATGATGAAAAAAAATGAAAATTTTATGAATGACATAAATCAACTTGACATACCGCGCCGAATAGAATATAAAATGTAAAAAAAATAATTTTTATTTTTTTTTCTCCAATGCTAAATAAAAGTACGAAACATTCAAAATTGTAATATGTTGTTAGCTCTTATTTATTTAATATGGACGAAATATTGTGCTTATTACCTCATTAAAGAAAACAAATGAAACTTAATTTTTTAAAACTGTAATAGATATTTTCTTTTAAACTGCAAATGAATAAAAATAGGACCACAAGTATTAATTTGTAATCCTAAAAACAAAATGTGAGAAGAAAGTATATCTTTGTTCCAGTTCCATTTTTGTTCAAATAACGAAATTCTATTAAAGTAATGTATTGTTGGTTTAAAGCATTTGGCGTGATAATTCACTAATAAAAATTAACTGAACGATTAACAAAAATGAAACTGGAAAATGGCTTTGTGCGCATCCTAGATAGTACATAGGTTTTACTTTTTTTTCACCGCAATATCCATTTGATGGTAAAAATTACTGTGCCTTCGAGAATAAACAGCACACAACACGGGGGTAATGATATGATTATTTTACGTACGAAAACAGCAACTAAAATTATACATGTAATGGGCGAAATTAGGCTTCATTCGTGTCATCGGGGGGTACGTTGGGAATATCGAGATCTGGAGCTCCTCCAGCAGCACCATCTTCATTCTCCCCATTTTCAACATTTTCGTTAGCTTCAACGCCCATGGAGGGTAATTCTAGAGGAAGCAAAGGTGGAGGATCCACTAAAACACCTCCGATTGGGTTACCTAATGATTTTCATTATCATTAAAAATATATATTAGAATTTCTATGAATTAGACATTTTTGCACGTAAAAATCACAAAAAGGCCGCTTCATAAATGTACATTTGACTTTTTTCAAAAACGAAAAACTGNCTGAGTTGACCGGTTTCATATCCATACAGGTCCATGTGCAATCTTTTTATAATTTTGATAGCATTTGACAATGTAAATTGTTTTTTAAAAGACAAAATTAACTTCTCTAAACATTTTCATGTTAAATAGTATTTTTACACTTTCACCTTTATAAGAAGTTTAAAGTATTACTTACGTTCATCAATAAATCTTATTACTGATATATAAAAACCTCTTCTTATTCGATTTTGAACTATAAATTTTAACTTCAACTTCTGCTGTTTAAAGCACAATATATTACTGAAGGATGTAAAAGTGATAATAAATGTTCAAATTCTGTTAGGTAGTATCGTTTAAACTTCTTAAAATTAATATCTACTCCTGCTAAATCTTCAATTTTAGTTTTTTGTACTAAAGTCATATCCGTAAATTCAACCAATTTTCTAGTACAATAAAACTATAAAACATAATTTACATGAATTATTGAAAAAAGGATATTAGACTTGTAGTTGTATACCACTAATATGTCCCATTTGTTTTTAAATAATGATAAGTACCATACAGGAAGGAAAATAAATTTACCTTCCGACGTTTAGCAGGAACAGCACCATCTTCAGAACGGTTAGGCCGTTTACCTCGATAGGACATTGCACTTAAATAGTGCAGGGAGTACACTGGACTGCACAGCCTAAAAGCAATAAGTTAATGTATAAAACCTTTGTTCAATATTACTACATCGCTTTATCAAAAATCTTAACCTAACATTTACTTGAAAATGAAAATTGTTATTTTTGAAATTCTATTAAATACATTACAAATAGAAGAAATTAAAAAGCATAGCTAGAAATGTAGATAAATACTTACTACATGATTTAGTTTAACTGATCAAAATATACATTGAAGGTACTGAATCTTTGCTGCAGTTTTAATGCTTCCTAGTTGAACTTCAACTTAAGTTATAAACAGGTATCCAGACTTTTTCATTGTGTTAGTTTTCTCAGCTGGTATTCTCAAACCTTATATTTTGAAAAATTAAAAAGTTTAAGTAGATTTCCAAATTGCCCTTGGCTACACCATTCATTTACAACATTGGGACAACATTCCTGGTGGGAGGAATTACTTTCCAGTACTTCTTTTATTTCAGAATTACAATTTCTGCACTTGTTTTTAACAAAAAACCATTGTGTATAATATTTTAGCCACTAGTGACAAACAGCATAAGTAGAGGTGGCTCCCATGTCTACATTGTAAACATTTGCAATTGCCGCTCTTTTCGAGTCTGAAGCACTTCTTTTAACACTATATTAACAGAAACAGCATGTAAATTTGTTGGAAAATTACCATTTCGTACGCTGATTTTCATCGATCACACCAGTTTTTACTAATTTGTGATTAAATCGACTCCATTAGACTCCATTTGGTATTCTTAACATTGACAACATAGATGGCGCTTTTTGATCGTCAAACGTCGACAGATGTTTAGAACCCGAAGTTCTTTTTTTATTTTTGGACAAAATAAATTTTATTTTATGGAAACACAAATTACGTTAATGTTTTCTCATTTTAAGTTTTATTTAATAAATTGGTAATCATTAAATTATATAAAATCAAAATATAATTTAAAGCAATTGTTCAAAAAATGGGTATGGAGAAATTAGAAAGGTGATTGCGTTTTTGTTAGAGCAACTCAGCTCATTTTTAATGCATGTAGATATTTTAGAAACACTGCGCAAATATCAAAAAAATACCTATGCCTTCCTTATAATGAAGCACATTAGACTGTTCATGTACCTATTCCAAATTTCAGTGCATTGACTTTTTAGTTACCGCCAGACTATATACTAATAAAGAAATAATAATTTAACTTGCAAATTAAACCACGTGATTCAATTGGAATTTTACTTTATTGACGAACTTTTTTAATACCTATAAAATGTGCACAGTATCATTTAATTAGGAATAAAATACTAATAGTATTTGTAGTGATTAATTTAGCTATATATTAAAATTTATTCATTCAACAGTTTTAAATTAACTTATTTTTAACTTATTTTATTTATATTATAAAAATTGTTTAATTTTACGAACACCAGTGGCGTAACAATGATTTTGGCATTGATATATTTATTTATTGAATAATAGTAGCTTGTTAAAAAATTTACTACCGTAATTTTATTTGATAAAACATAAAATACAATATACAGAAGTTTTCCGTTTAATGAAAAATTTAATCTATGTGTATTTCCCGTTTTATTAGTAAATTCGAACTATAATACTTGATAACTGCAAAACCTAAATATTTTTCCCTGGCTAAATAGTAAACAGGGTAAACGACTTTAACGATATTGATATTTTAAATTTTAACCTCTAAATCGAGAATACAACAGGTAATGTTGTAATAGCGTGATCTATGAATGTGATTAGATGAGTACATTTGTTTACATTTGTTATTAAATATACTGATTGTAAAAAGCACGGATGTAATTTTGTACTAACTTCTAGCTTACAAGAAACATGGACTCGGTAAATGATAGTTATATAATAACTTTAGTCATGGGAATTACGTTTCTCATTGATTTCAGAGTTCAAAATCAAAAATTGATCAGGCTTGTCGTACAGCAGAAGAATTTACAAAATTATACTATGAAAGTATAGATAAACGGCGTCATGTATGTCTATTAAACATTGCAATAATTATTTGATTCATTATGAAACATTTTGCAGTTGATGTCTAAGTTGTATTTGGACACCGGACTTTTAGTGTGGAATGGCAATGGTGTAGCAGGTAATGAAAGAATTCAGAAATTTTTTATGGAACTTCCTCCTACTGATCACACTGTAATTACATTAGATGCCCAAGTCATACCCGGTTAGAGGTTATTTAAAAAAAAAAATTTCCCCTTTAACTGCATTTGTTTAAGAATCTGCTGTAAGTGGGCAACTGACGTTTTTAATTCAAGTTAGTGGAACTGTAAAGTATCAAGATAAACTACCCAAAAATTTTCAACAAAATTTCATGATAACAGCCCAAGGAGATAAATGGAAGATTGTAACTGATTGTATAAGATTACAAGAACCATTGGGTGCGAATGAAAAAAGTTGACAGGATGATATGTAATTGCGTCTTAGTTTATCTTATTTTAAGGTAAATTTCACTGTGGGTGAAATGAAATCATGTAGAATAAGCATAAATTGCATACACAAGCTTTTATAAATTATAGTATTTAGACAGACTTCCAGAATTTAAACATTTAAAGTTAGTCTTTAAAAATTTAATAGATTCGTTAAAACTATTATTTGAAAGTTATTTTCATTATACTCGTCAGTTTAAAAGAATTTATTTTTCATTATTCAATTAAAATTTGAGAGTTAGTCTTAAGAAATTGAACATATTTGTATTCAAAACACAATAGTAGAGTTGCACTTGTTTGTACATCATACAACTACAGAACTAATGATGCTCTTTCATACATTAGAAGCTTGATTGTTTTATCCATTTGGGGTTATTATATTGCCCATGGTGCTACCAGTTGTCTAGAAATTATCATAAGCCTAAGCTTTGAAGTTTGTGTTTTTAAGTTATTGCCATCGTTTCTACCTAGCTATAATTCACTCGTAAATATAGATTCAATTTTTTAAGATTAATAATTATTATCTGTACGTAAAACCGAGTANTTTTCAAAAACGAAAAACTGATGTAGTAATTCTAATAACCGCCTTTAATGTAAAAGATAAAAATAACAGGAAATAATTTGTATTAAAAACTGTGTAATTTACATAACCACAAGTGCTGTTCAATATTTCAATTTTAATAATTGAAATAGTCAGTTTTATCAAAAATTCACTTTTTCAATGCCCAGTTAAATGAAAAAAAAAACATGTCCATTATTTACTGTTTGTTACGATAAATTATTCCCTTTTTCTTTTTTTATTTATATCCTTGTCAGTCTCCAAACTTAAATTAACTTTATTTGTGAATATTAAGTGAATATTAATCTATTTTGAATTGGAAGTAGTTTATGAAATATTTCTCGTTACACTAATACTTTTTTCAAAAGTATAGGACTGTTTTTTTAACTTAAACGTTGTTTTTTTCTCGTTATTATTATTATGGAGTTAAAAGAACTAAAAACTCTCTCAATTTTACTAGAAATTAAATGCATGCAACCATACAATAAACGTAATGTGTATAGGTATGAACCTTCAATTTTAACAAAAATTTGCAATTTTAAACCAATTGTATTTTTTTAATTACAGTATTTTGTATGATTCGTTTTTAATTACTACTGACATAAACGAATGAATGGTTTATGTCTTTAATAAATAAAAATTACCCCTTGCATCGAGTTCCAAGGCTGGATCAGCAGTTGCTTCAGCTAAATTGGTAACACTTTTGGACTTGACGCATTGAAAATCTACATGGCGACTCTTTGCCTCTTCTTTTTCCCAAGACATATGTATAAAAGGGCGTTGTACATAATTATAAATAACTTCTGCACGACCACCTGGCCTTTTCTTGACCTTTTCTTTGTAAGTGGGATACCCTGGTTAAAAAAGTAAATTATAAGAATGTAATTGTTTGAATATAATTAATTAAAACCTTCAATTCCTAAACGAATTTTCTTTAAACCCCTATCTTTAAGTACTTGTTTGGCTACATCTCTATTTTCTATGTATTTGAAGAAGCGATACATGGCAGTGCTGTTGACAGTTTGGCTGTATTCCTCACCCATCTGTGGTGGATATTCTTCATCCCAATCAACTGAATCATCATCCAAAAGAACAACTACATGACATTCTCTATCACCTCTTTGTGCTGAGTTTACCATTAATGGTAGAATCAGTTCTTCCAGAAAAACCTCAAACTGACGTCTAGCACCCTCATTAGATAACTCATGCAAAAGACCTCCTTAAAATGAAACAAATAATATACATTTTTATTTATTAACCAGTAACTTACTCAAGTTTTGACATCTCACAGTCTCTGCATCAAAAGGCACCAATAGATAATCGCAAGCCTCTCGTAATTCTTGTACAGATACAGTTGGAGGACATTTTATAATACCTCCCTTATAATATTCCAATATGGCCCGGAAAATTGTTGCTGATATTCCATCTGCAACTTCAAATTCTCCTCTTTCATTAGGATAGGTATATTCCAAACCAGAGGTAAACATTCTTCCCAAAAGTGTGTTTGGATATGCAACTAATATGGCAGGGTCAATTACAAATCTTGTATTCTCCACCACTAATGTTACACGATCTTCACTAGAGGCTGCATTTGCTGTAGTCCCTTGTTGGTTTTGGCTCTTTAATGGTCCAATGGTTACTGAACGATTTCTGAATTCACTAAAACATTGGACATATTATGTGTATGAGGAGGTAAATGCCAAATAAACATTGAAACAAAAGAGGTATAGGAAAATTCTTACGCATTACGGGAGGAAATATGGCAGGGTTTAGGTGAGCTCAACGGATGACAACGTTGATCAGTTAACGATGACGACCGTTGGACAAGGCACGGTTTGGGCTTAGACATGGAACCGTAACTAAAACTAACGAATAACAGAAATGATTCGAAAAAAGAGTATGAATTTAAAAGAGTACCTCATGCGATTTTTGAAAACTCGTCTTCTTCTATCGTCACTATAGTCTTCAGTATCACTGCTTGTGTCGTTATTCTGATATTGATGACGATCGCCTGTAGCTCCAGCCATTTCAATTTTCTTTGATACACAACTTATTATAATGTATAGATAATTTGCACAGTGCGAACTTATTCTAGAACATGTCCACAGCATACGATATTAAAGTCGAAAAGTATTCTATTATTTTTTTTCTTTTGATTTGCTTTTAAATTAGCTACAAACAAAAAAGTTTGACTACTGTCCAACTACTGTCACATTTGTCACATCAATTCTTTTAATTGTCAGTAAATGGGAATCATATAAGAATGTATAATAACGTTGGTATTTTATAAACGTCATATAAAGTGTCATTCACTTTTATCGATCCGAACCATTTCCGAACATTAACGAAAGTTGACTGAGTTGACCGGTTTCATATCCATACAGGTCCATAAAAATAACCATAAATCGATAAATATACCATAAGTACTTTGATAAATTGTGATATACGTAAAATATGTTTGTCTACTTTACCCTAGCGCCCGGGGAATTTAGTCAAGAATATTGTTTACGAAGCAGTTTAAAAGTAAAATTACAAATTTAAGAAATTATCACAGACAAAATATGACATTCGCTTTTATAGCATGCTGACTGATACTTACCAAGAATATGTTCTGTTATATAAATAAACAAAAACAATTTAACTAGCTAATCTGCGCTTGATGAATTATATTATTAATTATAAATACCTATCCTTCAGAAGGAAAAATGATGCGCCACTGCGAACTTAATTGTAGTTATTGATGCGAATTTGTAGAATAATATACAATGAAATTAGGAATGTTAAGAATAATGTAATCCAATTAAAATTAACCAACTTTGTCAAGGTCGTATCATTTAGTTGAACGTCACAAATTCGTATAAACTTGTTGGCATTTTCTTATTTACAATTAGCTAGACGTTTATAAATGTGCAAGAAAGATAGACAATTCACATGTGACAGTATACTTGTTCCTGTCTGAGTTGCGGCTGCTATTTGGCTGTTCTGCTTCTTGAAATAAATTTTGTTAGTTCTATTTGTGACTACGCCGAAGTTAATAGCGGAATTGCGGATCTCTTAAGACAATTCGTACCTATTTTGCGAATTATACCTTGTTCACGCTACTTAAGTACTGTGTTTTGTTTTCTGTGAGTGAACATTTCAATTAAACTTGTGAGAATTTTTGCCAAAAATAATAGTATGTGGTTTTAATTTCACTAATTGTTGATTTATAAAAGGACTGGAGCTGCTTATGAATAATTAGTTTGCATTCGTTTTCTACATAATTAATTTAATTATATTCAGGTAAGCAAATAAATTTTGTATTAATGTAAAACTTATGGTAGCGTTAGAAGTATTCTTATAAAATATTTTTTTAACTGGAAACGAGTTTGATAAACAGTTGTCCTAAATACGCCAGTTATTTCGGATTTTAGGTAACACGTATGTGGGTACTTGTAGAACAGTTAGCTAGTTATTACGAATAACTAGGTAGGTACTTTTAGACATTGGAATTCTGTTACAATTGTTAATATGTCAAATATCTTGTATTGGTTGTAATTTAATTATAAAACATACTACTCTTTAAACTTATTTTAACAAGGCATCTATGAAAAAGTTGTACGTAATGTGTACATATGTATTACATCCAATTTACACATCTTCCGTCCATACGTCTATGTTAACCTGTGGTAACCTATTTTCTTATCTTGTAAAGCTGCGTTGTTGGTCATTGACTTCAGCCAATGAGAATTCTCAATTCATACACTCCCTCAGGCATTTACCAATCATATTTTTTAATTTCAAATCCTTTATATAAATCGAATGTGCAAGTAAATATGGATAAGAATCGGTTTTTGACTAATAACTAAATAAAAACAGACTTCCTTTAATATAACTAAGGACGTTTTATTAATTGCCTAATTTTTCTGATAATTTCTTATTACGTTATTTTGTTGAGCGACATTAGTATTTGAACTTTGCTCAGGCAGTGTACTTTGGACTCCAGTTCGCTCATCACAGAAGAGCGCAATAAACCAACCGGTCAAACGTCGAGTAATAGTAGTATCTATCTTTATTTTGATATTCTCATCAGATACCTAGTGTCATGGACATGGAATTAACATATGTAGACATCTTACGTCACAGAGAAATCTCACTGTAAAGTATTATAGCCATATCAGTATACGTAGGTAGGTTGCTTGATGTTAAATTAAAATTTCGTTAATAATCAGTCAATTAAAGGTTTTATTAATTTAAACGTTTGCAAAACTTAAATATAAATAATAGTGTTATGATCGTATTCTTTCAATATAATTTGAAAATTAAAGATTTTGGTTAAAATACTTTGTAACATGACTTAGGGCAGTATGTTGCCATCTATTGATATTTGCTGCTACTGAAATGTTAGACGAGGGCCTTACTAACCAGGTATCTCTATCCCAATTGAATCTAAAAGTTTTCTTGAGCATCCTGTAAGGTGTCAGTTTAAAGTACTGAGAAGGAAACAGAAAATCTTTGCTATCTCATTATCTTTTTCGAAAACATCATCTGATAATATGTTCATTTAGGGAACATAAAAGGGCCATTTTTTGCGTACCTATTTAAGTTAAATTATGTTTGATTTTTATTGATATGGAACACATTTTTTTTGCAAAAGCTACCATTGTTGTGTCCGACCCTTTTCGAGAAATTATTATTAAAAATAATAAATCAATTTTAAACGATAACATTGTAGAAAAAAAACAAAAGAACAAAATCATATTAATTATAGAAAGCTTTTCATGTTCAAATTGAGAATTTAGCCTTTTTTTGAGGAATGTAGGGTTACGCCAACTAGGTATACTTAGAAAAAATTTAATTTACATTTCTTATAGATATGTATTTATAAAAATAAATGAGTTCGACAAATTACAAGTGTTAAAATTTTGATTTTTTGTAAATCTTTAATGTTTCAGTATAATTTGCTAGACTTCTTTGTGAATTGTTAATTTTATTGAGCCGTTCCTTTCGGAGACGCTCCACTTCAATAAATGATTTCTCATGCTGTTTGTTCAACTGATCATAATTTTTAAGGAGATTTTCTCTACTTTTAACAATCTTTTTTCTCTCTTCTGCTATAACATCTATTGACTTTTTTAGTTCTGGTTTGGACATTTTTGTTAAATGATCTTTGGTAATCTTTGATATTCTTTTTGAAAAGTCATCTGTATATTTTCCATGCATTATATTCACGAACTCTTCTTCGAAGGTAGTTTTCAATAAATTGCCTTTTGATTTGGCTTCAAATTCTTTTCTTTTTGGAATTATTTTTACTTTATTTATCATTTTTGACAAAGACAAAAATCTAATCGCAATTAAGAAATAAGGGCACAAAAACAGATATTTAGTAAAATATTAAACAAATTGTTATGTCAGTTTTGTTTAATAAGCTTACTATGTTAATTTATTATTGTACTAGATTTTACTTGCGGCTTCGTTCGCTTTGATGTTCTATATTTGTCATCAACGACCACATAAAACTAATTTTTCTATCCCTTGGGAACAGCATTTTTTCTTCTGAATAAAAGGTACCTATGTCCTTTTCTGTATCCCTGACAATGTGTTGTCTACAAACATGATGATCGATTGAGTAGTTAAGGTGTAAAATCGACCACATTGAAATAATTTTTTCTATCCCTCGGGAACAGTTTTTTTTTCTGGGTAAAAGGTACCCTATGTCCTTTTCTCTATTCCTGACAATGTGTCTACCAAATTTCATGATGATCGGTTGAGTCGTTAAAGCGAGAAAAGCCAACAAACAAACAATGTTAGTTAGGATTAGTTTAGGGTTCTGTTATTATACAGGATGTTTCACAGTGCCATAAAGAGACATTAAAAAAATGTTACACAAGTAAAAATGTTGTTCATAGGAATATCTGGAAAATTCTTTGCAATTTCGGATTGAATTTTGTTGTGCGTTACGGTATGGTATAAAAATACAGTTTCTAATTAGCTCTAGCTTTTTCATTAGGCGAAAGCTGCTTTAAGATACATTTAACAATGTTTATGACATATTTCCTAATTTGAGGCATTTCAAGTTTTCGAGTTGACCTTCAGATGTCTTCAAAGTCAGTCAATCAGGTTTTAATTCAAGGTCATATTTGAGTCTCTTGTTTACTAATGTAACTTTTTTCGTTAAAAAAAGTTATTTGGGGTTTGTTATTTATAAAATATGGACTCTCGTAAATATAGTAAGTGTATTAAGTATTCTTGATTATGGGCTTTGACTGAAACAATTGTCTACTCTTTTTTGAAAATAAAAGGCAGTTAAACTTACGATTAGCCAAGTGTTTTTATATGTTTTATTTTATTATATCAGTTACAAAATGTTTCACAACGAATTTACAATTGAAAGTCCTAAATTGATTCCAACTATATTGGGACCAGGTCTCGAATGTATAATATGGTAAAGTTTCATTAGAAAATATTTTTGCGTTCATCTGTGACAGGAAAGATCCTGGTTATCATTTTATTATAGACAATATATATATACATAGATTTAGATATTACTACCCACTAATGTAATAGCCAATAGGACTAACAAAAAAAGTAAACTAGCTTTGAGTTAATTGAAAATTGAAATATGTACAGTAACTTTGTACCAGTTTGTATATACAATTTTTTTAAATTATTTTTATATTCGCATATCCATTGTAATACACAGTTTAATTTTTAATTTCCTCTATTTGATTATTCTCCATTAAATCTTTAAGTTTGTATTTTCGTTCTCTCAAAAGCTCTTTAACTTCCTTCAATTCTTTTCTGGCTGATTCCAACATTTTTGCCAATTTTTCTTTTTCGGTTTCAATAAAACTCTTTTGTTGTCTGATCGTCTGAGTATCGTTGTAAATATGGGCTATAAATACTTGCAATTGATCTCTGGTCATATTTTTTATGTCCGCGTTCTTTTCAACAGCCGCCGGTAATGCTTCTTTGTTATTAGTCTTTTTTATTTTAGCGAGTAAACCCTTATTCATGATTTGTTACTGCGAGAATAATAGATTGACATTTGCGTTAATATTATTGACAAGTTTGTCTAGGTCTAGATATAAAGGGTTTAGGGTTTCCGTACGCTAAAGCAGCGGTGTCATATACAGGGTTATGTGCATCGTGTGAAGTAAGCGCTAGTATATCGCCATCTATAGACATTTACTGCAGGTGCTATTGTAATATTTCATGTTTCTTGACAAAGTTCCGCGAAGGTAGGTATCTTTTAGTAAAATTGCAGAAGCGTCCTTCGTAAGTCCTTGCTAAGAACTATGCAACATTAATTTACATATCTCTAGATGGCGATAGACTAAACAACTTTTTGTATAGACTAATTTAAATTTTTTGTCGAAATTACCTGTGGTGTGCTGATGAGGACTAATAATGTTGGCAATCCACATTTGGTCATCATCATAAAGTCGTCAGTCCTAAGACTGGTTGGACACGCACCTCCACTCTTTCCTATCCTGAGCTAATCTTCGCATTTCTCTAAAACTAGAACAACCCACATAACTATTTGCGAAACAGTAATCTAATCTAGGTCTACCTATACCCCTCTTAACTCCAGTTTCTGCCTCTGTCTCTGACTAGATCTTCATGCCTGAGAAGGTGTCCTATTAACCTACCTCGCCTATTTATTATTAACTTCCATTGAGTCTTATGTTCTACTATTCTTTCTCATACCTCTTCATTTTTAACCTTCTCTATCCAAGGTATCCCTATCATTCGCCTCTAACATCACATTTCGAACGCTTCTAACGTTTTCGCACCCGTAAAGAGCCGCGCACCAAACACACCTTAAATAACCTTTTTCTAATTTTTTCTAATTTGTAAATTAATCGTTCTCGAGCATAGAAGTGATTTCTTTTTTATTGAAGGCGACTCGATCCGGTGCAAATCTCTGCTTTATTTCCCTACTACTTCCGTCCTGACGTATCTGACTTCCTAGATACCTAAAATCGGCCACTTCTTCTAATTTTTCGTTTCCTATCTTTATATTCGCTCTTTATCTACGTTTTCTTCTTTTACATATCAGTATTTTGGTTTTACTTTTGTTTATTTTCATACAGTACTGTTTTGTCAGTACCGCATCAATTTTATTTAAAGCTATCTGTAACTCTTCCTTACTAAATGGTAATACTGCTGTATCATCTGCAAATCTAAGCATACTAATCTTTTGCCCCTGTATATCTATCCCTACAGTTGTACTGTCTTTAATGATGTTGATCGTGTCTTCGATGTATAGATTAGAATGGAGCGGTGACAGTGTGCATCTT